AGCACCTCAGGGACTGTCTCCAAAACTGGCTATATACTCAGGCACAAAGCAAATCTCAGAAGATACAAGAAAATTGAAATAACCCCTGAATTCTATCAGACCATCATGGGTTAAATCCAGATTTCAACAATAACAGAAACAACTGAACACCTACAAACTCATGGAAACTGAACAGCTTTCTTTTTTTTTTCAATACTTTTTAAATTGATTTGAGACTAAGATTCTCATTTATGAAAAACAAATTAAATGTTCAAATGGATGGTATCTAAAACCTGGTTCTAATATTTTTTAAAAATTAATTTTTATTTAAATAAAAAACAATCTTATTTTACAGACCAATCCCACTTATCTCTCCCTCCCATCTTCACATTTCCCCCACCAACCCCCATCCCACACTCCATCCACTCCCCAGGGAGGGTGAGACCTCCCATGGGGAATCATCAAAGTCTGTCACATCATTTGGGGCAGGACCTAAGCCTTCCCCCAAGTATCTAGGCTGAGAGAGTATCCCTCATTAGGGAATGTGCTCCCAAAGCCAATTTGTGCACCAGGGATAAATACTGGTTCCACTGCCAGAGACCCCATAGATTGCCCAGGCCCCCTAACTGACACCCATGTTCAGTGGGCCTGGTTCGGTCTTTTTTCTGGTTCCCTAGCTGTCAGACTAAGGGTCAGCTGTTTCTGTGGGTTTCCTCAGCATGGTCTTGACCTGTTTGCTCATCACTAATCCCTCTCTATGACTGGATTCCAGGAGTTCAGCTCAGTGCTTAGCTGTCAATCTCTGCTTCTGCTTCCATCAGCTACTGAATGAAGGCTCTAAGATGGCATTTAAGGTAGTCATCAATCTCATTATAGGGGAAGGTCATTTAAGGTAGCCTCTGCACTATTGCTTAGATTCTTAGTTGGGGTCATCCTTGTGGATCCCTGGACATTTCCCTAGTGCCAGATTTCTTGTTAAGCCCATGGTGGCTCCCTCTATTAAGGAATCTCTTTCCTTACTCTCCCCTGTTCTTCTCCCAACTCAACCTTCCTGATCCCTCATGTTTTCCTCCCCCTCTCCTTCTCCCCTGTTCTTTCTCCTACCTCCCCACCCCCATGGTCCCAATTTACTCAGGAGATCTTGTCCCTTTCCCCTTCTCTGGAATACTATCTATGCTTCTCTTAGGGTCCTCCTTGTTTCCTAGCTTCTCTGTCGGTATGGATTGTAGGCTGGTACTCTTTGCTCTATGTCTAAAATCCATTTATGAGTGCATACCAGGTTTGTCTTTTTGTGACTGGGTTACCTCATTCAGGATGGTTTCTTCTAGTTCGCTCCATTTTCCTGCCAATTTCAAGATTCCATTCCCCCCTCCACTGAGTAGTACTCCATTGTGCAAATGTACCACGTTTTCTCTACTCATTCTTCAGTTGAGGGGCATCTAGGCTGCTTCCAGTTTCTGACTATTACAAATAATGCTGCTATGAACATCGTTGAACAAAAGTCTTTGTTGTATGAATGTACATCCTTTGGGTATATGCCTAAGAGTAGAATTTCTGAATCTTGTGGTAGACTGATTCCCATTTTCCTAGGAAACCACCATACTGATTTCCAAAGTGGCTGTATGAGTTGGCACTCCCATCAGCAATGGAAGAGTGTTCTTCTTTCTCCACATCCTCTCCAGCATACACTGTCTTTGGTGTTTTTTATTTTAGCCAGTGTGATAGGAGCAAGATGGTATCTCAGAGTTGTTTTGACTTGCATTTCCCTGATGGCTAAGGATGTTGAGCACTTTCTTTTATATCTTTCAGCTATTTTAGATTCCTCCATTGAGTATTCTCTGTTTAGTTCTGTACCCCACTTTTTAATTGGATTATTTGGTGTTTTGGTGACTAGCTTCTCAGAATATAGAGTTGGGGGAAGAATAGAGAAACACAGCAACTAAAGAGATACCTTAATAGAGGGAGCTAGTTTAGGTTTAATGAGAAATCTGGCACTAGGGAAATGTGCCTACAAGGAAATGTGCACATCCAGAGCTCTACAAGGATGACCCCAACTAAGAATCTAAGCAATAGTGGAGAGGCTACCCTAAATGCCCTTCCCCTATAATGAGATTGATGACTACCTTAAATGCCATCCTAGAGCCTTCATCCACTAGCTGATGGAAGCAGAACCAGAGATTGACAGCTAAGCACTGAGCTGAACTCCTGGAATCCAGTTGTAGAGAGGGAGGAGTGATGAGCAAAGGCATCAAGACCATGCTGGAGTAACCCACAGAAACAGCTGACCTGAGCAAGTGGGAGCTCACAGACCCCAGTCTGACAGCTGGGGAACCAGCAAAAGACCGAACCAGGCCCCCTGAATGTAGGTGTCAGTTAAGGGGCCTGGGCAGTCTATGGGACGTCTGACAGTGAAACCAGTATTTATCCCTAGTGCATGGAGGGATACTCTCTCAGCCTAGATACACGGGGGAGGGCCTAGGCCCTGCCACAAATGATGTGACAGACCTTGACGATTCCCTCATGGGAGGCCTCACCATCCCTGGGCAGTGGATGGGGGTTGGTAGGGGACATGGGAGGACAGGAGGGAGAAGGAAATAGGATTGGTCTGTAAAATAAGATTGTTTTTAATTTAAATAAAAATTTATTTAAAAAATAAAGACCCAAACATGAATACACATAACCTCATCCACTTAATATCTGACAGACACCAAAAACATAAGCTGGAGCAAAAGGAAGCATCTTTAACAAATGGTGCTGGAAAAACTAGAAGTTCACGTTCAAGAAGACCTGGATCTCTCACCTTGCATAAAAACAAACTCCAAATGTATCCAAGGTGTGAAATACTGAAAATGCTAAAAGAAAAGGTGGGCTGTACCCTACATGATGGAAGTGTGGGGAAGGACTTTATGAATAGGACTCCATTTGCCCAAGAATTATGCTCTGCTAATGAAACAACCAGGTGAAGAGGAACCCCACAGAATGCAAAACAATCTTTGCCAGCTATATGTCTAACAGAAGTCTAATTTCTAGAATATATAAAGAATTCAAAAAACAGAGTCAAACAACAACAACAAACAAACAAAATGACCTTTTCAAAAATTGAGCCTGTGTCCTGAACATAGAGTTCTCAAAAGAAGAAAACATGGCTAAGAAATATCTCAGAAATGTTCACTGTCCCTAGCAATTAGAGAAATGTAAATCAAAACAACTTTGAGATTTCATCTTACACTAGTCAGAATCAACAAAATAACCGACAACAAATGCTGGAGTGGTGGAGGGAAAAGGCTTCATTTACTGTTGACTGGATTGCAAAGCCACTCTTCAGTTAGAGTGGAGAATCATCAAAAAGCTAAAAGTAAATTTACCATATGATCCAAACTATATTACTCCTTGGCATATACCCCAAAGACTCAGGATCCTACTCCACAGATACTTGCTCAGCCATGTTCACTACTGTTCTATTCACAGTATCTGGGAAACGGAAACAACCTAAATGTCCTTGAACCAGTGAACGGATAGTGCAAATGTGGTGCATATACACTATGGGACACTATTGAGCTGTAAAGAAGAGTGAATCAGGAACTATGCAGACAAATGGATGGAACTAGAAAAGATCATATTGAGATAGCCGAGACCCAGAAGGAAAAATGTTGTATGTTCTGTTGTCAGAGGCTTCTATCTCCAAATCTTTAGATATGAATACATTTCCTTCAATAACTGCAGAAACTGGAAAAGCAAAAAGGGCCTACTGAGCCAGGCATTGATGGCACATGCCTTTAATCCCAGCACTTGGGAGGCAGAGGCAGAGGCAGGCGGATCTCTGTGAGTTCAAAGCCCGTCTGGTCTACAGAGTGAGTGCCAGGATAGGCTCCAAAACTACACAGAAACCTTGTCTCAAAAAAATCGAAAAAAGGGGGGGCAGTTACTGCCAGGGTAGAGAGTGGAGTAGCAATAGAGAGAGGAATAGAAGGGTATAAGTGATTTATCTGATCAGAGAAATGGGAAAAGGGGGGCTCTAATTAGGATGGTGAGAGGGAGATAACTACAGAAGAAGGAAGGAGGATAGTAAAATAGCATTGAGAATGTCGGAAAATATCATAGAGAATAATATATACCTACTATAATATCTACCTAAAAATAAACAACTATAATGCATGTAAGTCTCTCTGTCTCCTTACACACACACACACACACACACACACACACACACACACACACACACTCACACACACAGTTTAAATGAAAAATTTTCAATTGGATTGACAACGTTCCCTCTAAGAACCAAAGACCACCTAACAAAAGCCCCAACACAAACAACTCCCAAACCTTACAGACTTTTGCTTGGTGTCCTCTCCCAGAGATCGAAGGTAAGTCCCTATTGCTGATGACACTATGTCTTTTAGAAGCAGAGCCTAGACGCTGCTGAGCTGGCACTGACCTCAATGTCTCCTCCCTCAGGACTAGCTAGCTAGCTTGCATGGTATCAGAAGGCACCATGAAAGCTTCTAAAGGAGGGAAGCAACCAACAGTCACCCAGCTATGATACATATGAACCACAACAACCACAGTATGGCTCAATAACCCTAAGGATGCAGTAGTGGTTCATATAACTTGGCAGTAACCAACAGCTCTCTAATTGGACCCATTCACAGTCAACAAATTGTAGTGGCATCTTGTTTCACCAGTGAACTTGGGGTGGTGGTCGCATCCTAGGGTAGTGGCTTCAGGTGTGTGGACGTGACCCCTTATAAGGAAGAGGAGGGGGCGAGCCCGTGAGAGGAGCCACTGCTGCCGCCGCCATCCATTCGCTGCAGAGCCGGAGGAGGAGGGGAGAGGTCCGGAGGACACCAACATGAACAAGTTGAAATAATCGCAGAAGGATAAAGTTCATTGTACACTTTCACAGGTACTTTTGTTTTAATATGGGGAAACATCAATAAAAACAATACTGCTTCATGTCTTTGGTATATTGTGGTTTATTTTAAAATGGAAAATAAAACTATCTTTTTGTTATGAACAAAACATTATAAGTAAGTATGGCACTAATTTTGTATTTTATTGCTATCTTTAAAGATCCTCAAGATGAAAATAAAATTGGAATAGATGGTATACAGCAGTTCTGTGATGACCTGGCCCTCGATCCTGCCAGCATCAGTGTGCTGATCATTGCATGGAAGTTCAGGGCAGCCACACAGTGTGAGTTCTCCAAACAGGAGTTCATGGACAGCATGACAGAGTTAGGATGTGACAGTATAGAAAAACTAAAGGCCCAAATACCCAAGATGGAACAAGAATTGAAAGAACCAGGACGATTTAAGGATTTTTACCAGTTTACTTTTAATTTTGCAAAGAATCCAGGACAAAAGGTATTAGATCTAGACATGGCCATTGCTTACTGGAACTTAGTGCTTAATGGAAGATTTAAATTCTTAGACTTATGGAATAAATTTTTGTTGGAGCATCATAAACGATCAATACCAAAAGACACATGGAATCTTCTATTAGACTTCAGTTCAATGATTGCAGATGGCATGTCCAATTATGATGAAGAAGGAGCATGGCCTGTTCTTATTGATGACTGTGGAATTTGCATGCCCTCAAATTTCTGGGACAAAAAAGTACAACAGTGTAGCACTAAAGGAACCTTCTAGAATGTACATAGTCTGTACAATAAATACAACGGAAAAATGCACAGTCAATTTCTGCTGGCTGGACCGAACTGAAGATCAATCCTCACAGTTCAAACTGAGGGTTGAGACAAAACTTTAAGGATACATCTTGGACCATATCGTACTCCATTCTTCTACTGGTAGTTTGGGCTTGTCTTCTAGTCTGGGCCACTCTAAACATTTATAATTCCAACATTGTGGATTTCATCTTATACCTGTGGACCATCTTAGTTTGTCTTCCCATAAGTCATAGAAGCTTGATGGTGATTATTTTGAGGTTTCCATTCTTGCATAAAGCACAATGCTGTCTTCGTCAGAAAACAGTTTGGCATAAGAATTAAACATAATAATGAACACCACAACAATTTATAAAAACTTCTTAAGTATATGCTTCGGGCTAGTTGCAAAGACTATGCTGGTAGCATCTCAAATGAGAGTGATTTATCTGAGTGGACCGGATCTGGAATGGTGTTTGGTTTGAGGGAATCTAACTTTCCTGCAAACCTCATGTACTGTTGACGTAAGTAGAATAGCTGATGAAAGAAATGTCAAAATAACCAACACATAAAAAAAATTAGGATAACTTGGTGACTACCAGAAATATGTTTTGTGTTTCAGACTCTTACAAAGGTTCTACAAAACAGTCTGTGGTTGTCTTACCCATGTTTAAACACAGTGGTCCTGCAGGGAACTCTTATTTAAAAAATACTGTAATGGGACATGTTAGATTCCACTCTCATCTGCATCACACACCACATAATTGGATTTCATTATGCTTTTGAAATGCTTCTATGACTTTTGAATAAGTTAAACTATTTCATTTGTTTTGAATGTTTTGGATTGCTATACAATACAATATTCTAAATTTAGGCATGAGGGTTTAGTTTTTTAATTTTTTGTCATCCAACTATGGAACACAATGCAATTCACTTAATTTATAAGAAGATAGTAGGATTTACATTTTAGAAATGGTTGTGATGAGCCATGAAGTTCAATATTTATCATATAGGCACTGCTCTTTCAGGCAATACTCCAGCCCTTACGACTTCTTATTGTGTTGAAATGGCTTTACTGCTAAATCACTGTGGTTGCCAAATCTTTACTCCAAGAGCAGAGATTTTTCAAACAAGAGAGTGCTGGTGCAGAATACCAATGGCTTCTGTTCTATAAATTATTTGGACTTTTAACTGTTTATCTCTCACTGGCATTTGCTATTTCCACATCAAAGCAGTATGCTGTCTTGATTGTATTTTGTTTTTTCATGACAGGACCCATGAATTGCTCTCCTGCTGAAAATACGTGTTTCTCTGTTAACATACTGACATGTGTAAGGGTGTGTCCATAAATATTTCGAGGAGAAAGTTAAAAATGATGAACTTAGATGTTGGATGACTGGCCTTCTATAGGGACAGAGTTTGCTTCATGTGTCCAGGTCCTCTTTGGGGCACAAAGGAATGTACTTTGGGAGACCAGAACATTTTATGCTGATATGGAAATGATTAAAACTGCTTTTTAGTCACATGATTTGGAAATTGCATAGAAAGCTTACCTTATAGATATATCATTTTTCCAATCATAACTTTAATTTAGGAATACATTTCAAATACCAAAGAAAGCTTAAATTTTTATCCACGTTACAGGAATTGGTTATTAAAAGAAAAAAGAATCTTGCTGTTTTCAGTATTTCTTGATTTCATTTTTGTAAATATGAAGAACTTCAATTATGAAAGATTAAAGATATATATACATATATGTATATCTTTAAAAGTTTTGCTGACATATATTGTTTATTCCCTACATGGAACATTTTGAGTTTTGGTATTTTTTTTATTTTAAATTGATTGATTCAAGTATGATTTTTTTCAAATGAAGGCTCATTAGCTTCTCTCTCCACCTCATAAATTTTTCTTTATAAAATCTTAATATTCATTTGTGGCCTAATGCTTTGAGTTTTACAGATTTTATTTTTAAATGAAAGACTTTTCAACTTTGTCATCAGTTTGGTACTAAACATTTACAATTACTGTGTAATTATAGGCAAAAATATATAAAGCTTTAATAAAATTATGTAGCAAAAAAAGTTAATGGTGTTCACTGTGGTGGCATCTTAGAATTAAACAAAACTGTTCCTAGGGCTCAAAAGAGAAAACTGATTTATTGTGTTTATTGTGAGGACAAATGTTTGGTTAGAGGGAATGTTGTGTACTAACAATGCTTACACTGTTGGGAGAGGGTCGTCTGTGAATCCAGAGAGAAAGGGCACATGCACACACACAGTCAGTGTAATTACTTCAGTTCATGGGTTTCAGTCTTTGTTTGCGTCAGGTCTTCATGCTGAGTCTTTTTTTTTTTTTCCAGAGACAAGCATAGGGAGAGTTTACTTTTTGCCAAATGTCAGAACAAGTACACATTCTTAAATGTAATGCTTTTTAAATAGTAAATGTATAAAATGAGAATTACACATATATAAAAATACTTGAGACCAAGGTTATCTTCAGTGAATATCATCTGTCTATCTCTGTAAGTTCAAGTGTGTCTTTTACAATCCCTGTCATATTACCAACAGAGGCAATAAAAGATTCAGTGAAATTGAAAAAAAAGGAAGAGGAGGGGCTGGCTTGCTCTCTTTGGTTGTGGTCAGAGCATCCGGAAGGGCAGAGGCTGCATCTTCAGGAGCGGGAAGACCCTGTTATTTACCATCATTATGTGAGGGCTCCCCTAAGAAATACCTGGTATCATTTATCTGGGTTTTGTGGACTTCTGTAAAGCCGCCATCAGGAAATCATACCTAATATTGGAAACCTGGGAACTACCCAGGGCCAGTAAAGTCATGGCTCTTGGAGGAGGACCTACAACCACTACTTTACTAAATCAGGTCAGTCCCTAACTATATCCCAAATATTTGCCCATGTATCCACAGATAAGTTGTCTTCACTCCTCATCAAGGAAACTTCTCTTTGCAAAAGAGGGGAGCATTATAGAAAACCATAGCCAGTCAAAATGCAGAGTTATGGAGCAGTCCCAACTGATACATGTACAACACAACTCCTGCACCTGAGGCTCAGGGGTCATTTCAGAAGAGAATGTAAGAACCAGAGGAACAAGGAGTTTGCTTTGACAATGCATCTACCTAGTAATGTCAGAAGCTACAGCCATAAGGTTTCATCACTATGACTACACAAACATGAGCTGAACAAGAACAATAGACATGCCAAAGTGGACAGGGGAAAGAAAGCCTATGAGGCCTCAACCCTACACAAAGAACTGTAGGCAACTGAGGAATCGTAAGAGTGGGAGAGATAGTATTCCCCAGAGTAGAGCACAACTGGTTATTCAATACCAAATGTTTAGCCCTGAAAATGTCCATATAGCTGCATTATGCATACTGAACAGGTTATATTTAGGTATATATATATATATATATATATATATATATATATATATATAAATCCCATGATTTGAAAGAGAGCAAGGAGGGCTATATGGGAGGGTTTGGAAGTAAGTCTAGAAGGGAGAAATGAATGTAATTATATTATAATCCCAAAGATAAAAGAAGTAATTTTTAAAGGAAAGAAAATGGGGACTTGTTTGGAAAAGGGCTACAGTGGGAGTAGGAGAGATATGAGAGGGGAAAATGGGGCTGAAAATGACCAAAATATATCTGTGTATAAAATTGTCAAAGAATAATAAATTAGTAAGAAAAATGACTGGATATGTCCAAGAGGCTTCATGGTAAAGACAAAGGCATTTTAGGAAGGTTTCAGCCCACGAAAGTCCATCCAAAGCCCTGCCCTGTGCTTCCCATCTGCAAGGAGCTAACAAGTTCTGGCTTTGCTCCAGATCACTGCAGGGGCGGGAATAGCACCACAGGGCCCCAGAGGCTTTTCAGGAGAGAACACCTTTGAGAAGTTCACAGGGACCAATGCAGAGGGCTCAGAAGCCATTTAGAAGAGGTCTTTCATATAAATAAAATGTCTGAATTCCCCAAAACACACTTCCCCAACAGCAACTGCAACAGCCAGCTAAAAAATCAATGTCAAGTACATCTTTCCAATTGTATTCTTATCCATACCTAACTTTAACCCAGACTCTGAAATCAACATTTGAATGCTGACAACAATCAATACATAATCCTGGTCTTGATCATGAACCTTACCTGTCCTTCACACTAACCATACCCTTGAAACTCATTCTAAATCTGACTCTAAACTCTAGCCCTAGATTTAACAATGAACTGGATTCTAAACATTACCTCATCGTTACCCCGACTGACTTTAATGCCAAACTTGATCTTTACTCAAAGCATGAATCTGACCCTGCTATAACCCAAATCAGAACACTGGCACAGACTCTGAACTATGCTTAATACTTAACTCTAGCCTTGACCCTGATGCTAACACTAAGTATAACCCTAATGTTATCTTTGACAATAAACTACTCATTTTTACCTTGACTCTGAAATTTTAATTCACTTTGACTGACCAAGAACCTGACCCTGGCCTAACACTAACCAGGAATTAACTTTTTTCTCTGACCTTGAGCCTAAATATAGCTATAACCCTAATATTATCCCCTAGTGTAGCCTTAACATTGTTTTATAGGAAAATGTGTATATTATGATTTCATTTTCAAATATACTATTTTTGCTTTTGACACAGATTCTGTTGTATGGCCCAGGCTGTTCCCAATCTTCCCCCTCAGCCTCCCAAGTTCTGGGATTGCACACATGTGCCCTGCTTATTTTGAGGGTGGCAGGGCATTGCATTTAGAGATGACAGTGCAGGGCCACAGAAAACTAGGCAACTGGGGTAGAGCAGGTGGGCCAAGGTGAGGGGTTGTGGCAGCTCTCCAGACTTCCCCTCTGGTTCTTTGAGAGCATTATTTGCTTGGACTACCGTAACACAAATAATAAAAGCCCAGAGACAGATATTGGGGTTCAAGCTGAAGATCAGAGAAGCAAAGAAGACAGCCACTAGCTCTTACCTCTATCTCAGGCTAAAAGGACTGTCCAGTCCTCAGCATGGCTGGAGAATAAATCTCTGAGACTGAATACCGAATGCCCCACTCCAATCTTATATCCCTCTCTAGAGCTGGGATTAAAGGCATGGAATTCCCATGTGCTGAGATCTACTTTGTATGAGCTATTTCTCTTTTTAGAGTGATTCACTCCAATGTAACCCTGGGTAGCT